AGGTCTTTACAGATTTGTCCCTTTATATTTGTCTCATTAATTTATAAAGGGATGAGTTTATTTGACCACGATTGCCAGGACTTTGCTTTTTAAAAAAAAAATCAGGACAGTATTTGCTTTCTACACCTTTAGGGTGGGAAACACTGTATGAGTGCCACGTAAGGTTATTTCTAACCCTCCGGTTCCCCTTCAGTTCATGACTTTCAAGAGAAAGAAACAACAGTTTGTAGTTCGTTAAGCTCATTACCAGAGGCTTTAGTATTCACTTATTTCTCTCATATTACATTTAATTTTCCGTAAGCATTCCCTTTCCTGCTTTTCAGCTACACATCACGATATTCATCTCTTCTGAGTCAGTCACACCCCACTGCTTTTCTTTTCTTGAGGAAAGACTCCTTTGGAAGTACCTCTTCCCACAAAGCCAGAGTGGAAGCAGGTCAGAGCTCCTTGCCCTTAGTAAGCCCTGGGATGGAGCTTGGCTGTTCTCAGTGGTGGCAGATGACAGAACAAGGAGCAATGGTCTCTAGTTTCAGTGGGGAAGGTCTAGGTTGGATATTAGAAACCCTATTTCACTAGGAGGGTGGTGAATCACTGGAATGGGTTACCTAGGGAGGTGGTGGAATCTCCATCCTTAGAGGTTTTTAAGGCCCGACTTGACAAAGCCCTGGCTGGGATGATTTAGTTGGTGTTGGTCCTGCTTTGAGCAGGGGGTTGGACTAGATGACCTCCTGAGGTCTCTTCCAACCCTAATCTTCTATGATTGTACTCAGGGGACGCATGCTAGCAGGTCAACCCCTGTGAAGGGAGCATGAGTTATATTCCTAGCCAGTGGTGTGGTACCTCTGGTTGAAGCAGTAGTAACTACCCTGGGAAAACAGGTTCAAATCCTCTAGAAGCAGGTTTTAAATGTTCAATTTAGCAATGCTACTCGGGGTCAGGGTGTGTGGTTCCCCTGCATGTGAGAGCTCTGAAATGCAGAAGCCAAGCCCAGGGGGACCCTCCTCCAGTGCAAGAGGCAGGTCAGGAGCTTTGGGCTGACCTGTGTGGAAGGCAGGAGCTAAGCAAATGCCTAGATTCCAAGACCAGAAGGGACCATTCCCAGAGCAGATCTTTTAGAAAAACATCCAAGCTGGATTTAAAAATTGTCAGTGATGGAGAATCCACCACGCCCCTTGGTAAATTGTGCCAATGGTTAATTACCCTCATTGTAAAAAATGTGTACATTATTTCCAGACTGAATTTGTGTCGCTTCAATTTCCAGCCACTGGATCATGTTATCATAGAATATCAGGATTGGAAGGGACCTCAGGAGGTCATCTAGTCCAACCCCCTGCTCAAAGCAGAACCAAACCCCAGACAGATTTTTGCCCCAGATCCCTAAGTGGCCCCTCAAGGACTGAACTCACAACCGTGGGTTTAGCAGGCCAATGTTCAAACCACTAAGCTATCTCTGCTAGATAGAAAAGCCCATTGTCAAATATTTGTTCCCCATGTAGGTACTTATAGATTGTTATCAAATCACCTTTTAACTTTCTCTTTGTTAAACTAAATAGCTTGAGCTCCTTGGGTCTGTCACTATCACTATAAGGCAACTTTTCCAATCCTTTAATCATGCTTGCGGCTCTTTTCTGAATACTCTCCAATTTATCAATGCCCTGGAATTGTGGGCACCAGAACTTGACACTGTATTCCAGCAGCGATCTCCCCAGTGCCAAATACAGAGATACAATAACCTCTCTGCTCCTGCTCAAGATTCCCGTTTCTGCATCGCAGGATCACATTAGCACTCAGTGGTTCTCAAACTTTTTGTATTGGTGACCCTTTTCAGATAGCAAGCTTCTGTGTGCAACCCCCCTTATCAATTAAAAACAAAGTGGGGGGTAATTTAATTTAACAGGGACTCAGGCTGTCGGCCCCACTCCTGGCAGGGCTGACACCTTGCAACCCACTTTGAGAACCCCCTTTTTTGGACACAGCATCACACTGGGATTATCCACCATGACCCCCAAATCTTTTTCAGAGTCACCGCTTCCCTGGGTAGAGTGCCCCATTCTATAAGCATGGTCTGCATTCTTTGGTCCTAGATTTATACATTTGCTTTTAACCATATTAAAACGAACATTGTTTGCTTGCACCCGGCTTTCCAAGCAATCCAGATCGCTCTGTATCGGTGACCCGTCCTCTTCATTATTTACCACTCTTCTAATCTTTTGTGTTGTCTGCAAACTTCATCAGAGATGTTAGGTTTTCTTCCGCATGACTGATAAAAAGTGTTAAATAGCATATGGCCAAGAACAGATCCCTGCAAGACCCCACTTGAAAAACACACCCACTCAATAAGGATTCCCAATTTACAATTACATTTAGAAACCTATCAGTTATCCAGTTTTTAATCTATTTAACGTGTACCATGTTAATTTCATATCATTAGAGTTTTTTAATTAAAGTGTTGTGGGGACCAAGTCAAACACCTTACAGAAGGTCTGAGGAGGGTGTTGGGAGTGGGGCAATGGGGGGATACCACAATATGTGCAGAAGCCAGATGGGTGTGTGCTCCCAGTGAGGCAAGAGCTAACATGGGAATGAGGAGCAGCAGGCAAGGTAAACCCAGGCTATTGGAGAATTCATCTCACGGTCCTGCTGCCATAACAGACCGCTTTTTAAAAAAAACTGCTCATCAGCTCCGTCATTTTACAGTTGTTGATTTCATCTCCCTTATCATTGGCTAACAGCCCTAACATCTCTCTAATAGTTCTACTTTGAAGAGCCTTTACAGTGTTTACCCATCTAGGTTCTTACATAGCCCCCAGCCCCACCGTATCTGAGCCCCTATTCCCACCAACCGTTTTGACTATCATTAATTCTTTGTTGCCTTGTCTTTCCCCACTTAATTTCCAACACCAGTTCCTTGTGGCCATCAGATATTTCAATAGGACCTCAAGAAGCCTGATCAGCCACTACTTCTTCCTCCCAATATTTCTCTCTTTCAGTCAGTTTCATAATTCCCCCACATTTGCTCTCTCCAAATCAGATACCTTTGGACAGCTGTGTCCTATGAACCTATTCATCAATACCTTGAATTAACAGAGCTCACAATCACTAGCACAGAAGTGTCCTACTCCACTTATGCTTTCAATCAAGAACTCCCTACTGGTATGAAGCAGATCAAGAAGGATTTCTCCTCTAGCTGGATTCCCTACTTCCTGGCTCAAATATTTGTCCTTTAATTAATCTGAGAAGTGATGATGTTCAACACTTTTTGTATTTGTAACTCAACAGCTGTCTGAGTACTTAAAATCCTACATGACCACATTATCTAGAGATTTTGGACTCCACAGTAACTGGTTTAGGAATTTTTTGTTCTCATTTTCCTCTAGCCCTACATAGCCATTTCTTGAAACCTTACCAGATTATTTCGCTACCACTCCGTTAATGGGGAAATTGATTCTTGCTGGTTTTGTTAATTTAGAGTATTACCCCATCCCTCATACAAAGAGGATTGTACCCGATAATGCAGAGAACCATCCCGTCAGCATTATCAGGTTTCAGCTGTGTCCACTACATCATATTCTCCTTTCATTAAGCAAATACTCCCAATTACCCATTGCATTAAGCAAATGCTCCCAATTACCCAGTTTAAAGCCTGTGTAACTAGCCCTGCCAGTTTTGAACCCACAGAACTGGGACCCCTTGTGCTTCAGTGGAGATTTCACAGAGCATTGGCATCCGTCCTGTACATCAACAGCCTTCCCCTTCTAAACCATCCACAGATCCATCGGTTGGTCTCCAGCATCACTCTTGACTTTACTCCCACTAGTTACTAGAAAGACAAAACATCACCTATGTTGACCTCAGTCTGCAGCATTCTTCCCAGGGTTCTAAAGTCATTCTTGATCCACTGATTCTCCCTTTGTGCCTGTCATTAGCTTTCACATGAACTACACTAGGTGAACATTCACTGCTACACTGCAGGCTATGCTTTGCTCTTGTCATCACGTTTCACTCCCTGGCACTAGGAAGATAGTATACCGTCCTTTTCTCTTTTTTAGGAGTCAAACAGCCTGAGCTATGTTCATCGCTACCAAAGTGCTCATCAAAATCATCTGCCACCAACTTCTGCCTCTCCGGTGTCACCCTTCCGGCTGCTGGTCAATATACTACCTGGTTCTCAGCCTCTGGCTGATCATCTAGCTCATCAGGATCATAGTATTTGTCACTTCTGTCAAAAGTGAATGACCTAGGTGCAGTAAGTCTTCTCTTAGCCTCCTCTTCCACATTCATTCCCTCAGATCTCAGCCAGTTACATCTCTCTTTATAGTTCCTCCTGCTGCAATCCAATTCAGTTTTTTTTCCCCATCGATTTCAGCTCCTGCCCATGTCCCTCCACAGTGGAAGCCACTTCACACTTCATGCATATAGAGCCTGCCTTGTGAAATAAACCAGGGCAAATCACAAAAAAAGTTCAGCAAATAAATTCAGGATGACAGATTCTCTGTTCCTTCCTGTCCCACTATTCTGAGCTCAGCTGACATGTACAGGTTTTGAAGAGAGACTTTGGGAGTTAGACGGCAGCAGAGAACAACAGAAATTTAATTTGCTTCTTTCAGAAGCTATAGAGACCTCTTCCATCCAGTTCAAATATGAGAATATTAGACATAGGATTAGCTACAAGAGGAATACACCACCTATGACGACATCCTGAAACTAGAAAGATCCTTTATCCAGCAAGACTATACCCAAAAGCACAGAAGACCTCTAGCAATGCTGGCACATTGAGGACATAGTAGGTCCTCAAAAAGAGAAAAGATGACAGGAAGTGCTCCCAGAAGTTGGGATCCTTGCAACACTCCTTCAGGCTACCATTTGCATCACTACTTATTACTTCATACTACAAGACAACCACCTACAAAGCCCATAAACTTGCTGCAACTAAAATTCCAATCATGTTCTCCTGTTCACAGAGAAAGGCAATGGGATGAAGGACATATCTGGATACTAACCTCGGGCTGACAGCTTTTTGGTGTTGATGATTTTTGCAGCATATTCCTGGGATGAATTTTTCTTCACACATCGGCGCACCACAGAAAAGGCTCCCCTAGAAGAAAGAGGGGGGGGGGCTGTGAAAATGAAAATAATAATGCAACAGGAACGATTTCCACCCCCAACTTAGACATGTCAAGTCAGCAAATAACGCAGAGGAAAAGTGTATACCCAAGTGCTTGGCTGAGGCCTCCTAGGGGCCTTAAGCAGGAAAGCACAAACAGTACACCATGGAGGGGAGGGGAGAAGAGAAGAGTGCAGAGACATAACATACAGGGGCTGAAGAACGAAAGAGTAGCCTAGAAGGTTGGAAACACTTCCGTAATGGTCTAGTGGCTGGAGAAGACAACTAGGAATTAGTTCTCCTAGGTTCTTGTCCCAGCTGGGCCACTGAATCACCGCAGCACTTTGGACGAGACACTAACTCTGCTACACTCATTTCTTTATCGGTGAACTAGGGATAAATACCTCTTCCCAGGGGGGCTGGCAGGCTAATAGTTGTTTGTAAGTTAACATTTTATAAATATGAATTATTATTGCTGCAACAGGCTGTAGGGAGAAGTGCACTGAGTGGCAGAACAGAAAGGGGAAGGATTCTTAGAAGAAAAGGGAGATGGCGTAAGAAAAAAAGGTGTAAGGAAAGACAGCCCAGGCCCTAAGAGGTTGTGGGGAAGAGGGAAAACCTGGAAAGTGGTCCCTACAGAAAAAATGGTGGGTAGAGAGAGACAAGAGAACAGGCTTGATGGAAGAAAAACTCAGGAAGGTCAGAAGGGTGAATAAGGGGAAGTTGACAGGGAAGTATCCAAGCCTCTGAGTGGGGAACTAGGTCCCACCAGTCCCCAGAGAAGTCTGTACACTGGAACTAGAAACAAACCAGAACACTACAGCAGCCCCACAGAAAACTTAACCCATCAGAGAGGGTCTGGCCCTAGGCAACTAGGCCCCTTCCTACACTCCAGAGTCCTGACCCCTCCTCAGCTTCTGCTCCCACCCCCAACCTCTCCACATAAACCAACGAGAAACACTGCAAGCACCATTCCTTGGGCCAGGGCTGGGTGTTGAGACACAAGCTGCAGCAGCAGCCTAGGAATCCGTGTGGGGATGGGGCAAAGAGATGCAGCAGTGCCCAGAGATTGGTGCAGGGAAGGAGGGGGAAAGATGCAGCAGTACTCAGGGATGCATCAACACCCAATGATCCCATCCTGTATACTGCTGCATCACCTCCATGTCCCAAGAGCCCACTGCAGGTTTAGGTGTGTGTTTGGGGGCAGGGGAGTTGGGTGCAGCAGTGCCTGATCCCAAAACTGTGGAGGAGAGATCCCCTATACAGCCGCAGAACCTAGTCCTTCTGCAGGGCTGGGGGAGTATCTCAGGAGGAAGCCAGAGCTATAGCAGGGACAACTGGAGTGAGTGTCCCGGGTTATGGCTATCACCAGGATGGTTTGGGGGAGCAGGGTGCAGCAGCCCCAAGCAGTCCAAGTGCAGAGCTGGGGAGTAAGTCCTGGGGTACACAGCCTCACATGGTGCAGGGATGGGGAAACCCTGGCCTACAGCTACACCTGGGGTTGGGATAGGATGTGAGTAACCCCGGGGGGCAGCAGCCCCCACTCCCTGTGCAGAACGGTGACGAAGGGGACGCGGGAGGTCCTAGGGTGCAGCAGACCCTCCCGGTCCCACTGTAGGGGCGGCGGGGGCAGGATCCCCGGGTGTAGCAGACGCCAGCTGCCGGTCCCAGGATCAGGGCAGCGGGAGGACCCGGGAGCTCAGGGGCACCCAGTCCGGCACAGGAAGGTGGAGCGGGACAGCCAGGGTGCCGCAGCAGCTCCGGGGCAGGGCTGGGGAAGAGGCAGGCGGGCGGGCGGGAAGGGACGCAGGCGGAGGTCCCCGGGGCGTAGGGCCGGGCGGGCTCCGTACTTGCCGAGCTCCTCGTAGAGCTGGTAGTCGTCGGTGAAGCGGGTGCACAGGGCGGTGGTGGCCATGCTGGGCTGGGCTCAGCGCCACTCGGGCATGGGACTGGGCGAGGCGCGGGCTGCTGCCGGCCGACCGGCGCGGGCGGATCGCGCTGTCCTCGGGGCAGCCTCCTCCGGCGGCTGCTTGGCTCCCCGCGCCGCCCTGCACAGTCACCGCTCGCCAGGGAGGAGAAGGAGGCTGAGCCCCGCCAGCACCGCGAGATCTTACTGGGAGACACCCCCCGCCCGCCCCCTGCCTCCGCCCGGCCCTGGGGTGGGGCCGCGCCCTGGCGCTCGGGGCAAGCGGGGCGGTGCTGGGCCCCGGGGGCGCACGCGAGCCGCCGAGCCCCGTGTAGGCTGCAGCTGGAGAGCTACCCCCTTGCCTGACTGCGCGGGGAAAGGGGCTATAGACTGACACCCCCCCACCCCAGCACGGAGCAGGAGGAGACGCAGCGAAGTAAGCGGGGCGCGGGAGCCCCTCGCGTGCGCCTCCGACTCACAGCCAGAGCACCCCCAGCTCAGCAAGAGTCCTATGAGTGTGGATAGGGCGGCTACTGGGGGGCGGGAGGACATAAAGGAGGGAGCGGTAGTGAGGAGGAAATCAGCCCGAGAGCACCCCGCAGGCTGGCCGGGGCCGGGTCTGACCCCTTGTTGCTCCTAGGCACAGGGGCCGGTAGAAGTGCAGCCGGATAAACTTCCTGCATGCATCGAAAAGGGGAGGGCTGCAGCCTGAGATCCTTGCGCGGGGAACGTGCAATAGGGCGGACTGAGAGCTCCGCGCGGATAAATAAGGCTACAGGAGATTAACCCTTGCGTGCACCAAGAGAAGGGGAACTAGTGCAGCCTGACCCCACCATACGCAGATGGGGAAGAGGAAAACTGCAGTCTCTCCCTTCCCCTCTCCATGAGCCAATGGTGTGGGGAGAGGAAGGGGGAGTTAAGAGGGAGAAAACTACTGCTGCCTAACTCCTGCATGCACATAGAGGGTGGTACCTGCAGTCTGACAGATCTCCTATGAAGTGGGGATAACCCCTGCATGCCCTGTGAGGTGGAGAATATGCACTTAAAAAGGGGAACTGCACCTTGACATTGCTAGCTGCAGGCACCAAGGAGAAGGAACTACACTCTGATAAGAGAAACTGGGAGTGCTGATGTGAACTGGAAAATACATCCTGAGCAGCTAGCCCAGTATTCATAGACACACACTGGAAAGAGGAAAAAAACATTCGCTAGAGGGTGCTTTGTCTTGTTGATTACTAGCCTTACCCTGCACGTTCACTCACTCACTCACTCACACACACACTCACTGGTAGGTGGGGCTTGGTCCCACTAAGGTACCCTCCAAAGGACCAGCCTTGCACTCTCCAGGAAAGTAAACCAGACTCCATTCTGTCTCTGCAGTTTGTGCCATTCAGGAGATGCTTTCCATAGCAACTTTATAGGCAAGTTTATTTTCACCTCTCCTGTTAAAGGATTCTCTCTCTGAGTGATTGCCAATAAAAAATTATTTGATTTATGACAAACCAAGTCTAGTTTGGAAATTGTGTTTTGGGGCAGTGGCAGGCCTAGCTGAAGAGGGCAGATGTTCTTTGGCCTCTCCAAAGAGCCAGGAAAAGGAGCATGTTACAGACACAGGGAGACCAACTCACCCTATCAGTATCGAGCATTAGTATTAAACTGATTTGAAGATTGAAAGCACTATAGAAATGCTAGGTATTATTATTGTATGTGAAAGGACCAGCAAAGAAGCCCTCTTCTATCATTCAGCAAAGTAACAGGAACGGATAGCAGCAGTGAACAGTTGTCTGACTGTATAGGGCTTATACAGCCTGTCTGAGCCTTCCAAGCTGTCAAGGCTGCTTCCCCACTTTGAACTTTAGGGTACAAATGTGGGGGCCTGCATGAAAACTTCTAAGCTTAACTACCAGCTTAGATCTGGTCCGCTGCCACCACTCCCAAATGCTAATTCTCTTCCCTGGGTAGCCTTGAGAGACTCTTCACCAATTCCCTGGTGAATACAGATCCAAACCCCTTGGATCTTAAAACAAGGAGAAATTAACCATCCCCCCTCCTTTCTCCCACCAACTCCTGGTGGG